ATATATTATATATATATATTATATATAAACAGATTACCCACAGAGGCGAGCAATTCTCTATCCTTGCAGACTTTCAAAATTTAGCTGGACCAGGCCCTATGCAACTTGATTGAACTGAAATTTGTCCTTGCCTTGAGCAGGTGTTCTGCCTAGCAACCTCAGGCATTCCCTTCCAACCTATAAATTAAAGTGCACTGCTAATAGTGTTACAATTAAATCAATTAATGCTTAGTAAGTTCCATCTTTTACACAGTTTTCACTTGCTTTTCTTTTTGTTCCAGGTTGCTCTTACCTATAAGTTCTATAATTCCTGAATGAATATTGAGATCCTGAGTGGCAAGAAGGGAGTCCTTCTTTTGACTATAATACTTTATTATAACATCAAAAAGAATCTTCTTGTATGTATTCAGACTGCTTGGTTTGTTAGTGCTTTGAGGTAACTGCTGACTAACCATCACTATGAACTGGTCTGGGAAATACTCCAAGCATTCCATTGCAGCATAGAGCCATTTGTCAAGCCTGTAGAAGGAAAAGTTAGTTTTAGTGCTTAGTTTAGAATACTCTGCCTATTCTTGTTTAATCCTGTAAGGAAATTAGATAGAAATAACCATGCAGGTGTAGTCACATATTTGAACCACAGCATTAAACTTGTTGCTTATTAAGCAGTTTATGTAATTTATTTCACTATAGTAGTTCAAGGACCTGCTCAAAATAAGCAACTTCCATGGTTTTCCTACACTAGAGACAATACACCTGAGGTACACCCAGATCAAAACAAGCTGCCATCATGCCAGACTGTCACTGACACTATGACACTTGCCTGATTCAGTTCATATTTAAAACCAAACACCACCCCACTACTACTCCAGCACACAGAGTGAAAACCCATCAGGGCTGACCAGGGCAAAAAAGCAAGGGACTGGATCTTTACAGAGGAGAAACAATACAACTAGTTTGAAAACAGAAAAATAAAAATAGTTTTAAATCCCAGAAGACTGTGGAAGCAGTTTATTACACGATCTACTACAAAGGCATGCGTTTCCTTAAGCACTTGTTGCCTGTATGACTTAACTAGAGAGATAAAAATTAAGAACCATCTAAAATTCAGGTAGACAACTCATTGTTCAAAGAAGCTGGAAGGTCAGAGAAAAAACTTACTAATTCAACTATTTTGTACAGAAGAAATCTAAAAATATAGAATTGTGGGGGTCAGAGGAAGAATCACTTTTATCTGAATCTCTGGATATAAAATAATTGGAACTGAATCAATACTTTGTGAGAAGATTAAAATATTATTTAAGATCCACAGAATCTTATTTTTATTACGTAATAAAGCAGAAACAAAGATTTTTGAACTTGCTGCTGGACAGCTACGTAAACGTGAACTTTTTTGTTGCTGTGGCCAACATGGATTCTTGGATCCATAAATTCTTGGATGCATAAATGGGATACTACAGTAAAGTAGAAATATGATCATGACCTTCCTTTAGCTATGAATCCATGAGGGGTGCAATCACTACAAGCAGGACTTGATTACAACTTTTAAGTATCCACATGGAGAGCAGGTATTTGATTGTTTCAAGCATAACACTACACTGTTTGAAAACTGAAGACAAAAAATTTGAGATACAAATTATGCTTACTCCCTTCTGCCTTCATATTGGTGTCAATTAATTCTTCAACTACTTGTAATACTGGTGGCTATTCTTCATACCTGGAATTTTGCATTTCTCAGGCACATTATAAGTCAGACCTAAATAATATATACACTACAAAGATGCTACTCTAGTCTCCCACTTGAAGTAATTGTAGAAAAAAAGTAATGATTTTTTATAGATGTATAACTTACTCAGGCAAGTTTAAGCTACATGTAACCTCTCTGTCCAGGAAAGTATTTGAGATAATCAGGTCTTCTTCTTTGCCAAAACAGTCGGGTTTTGTCTTCACTGAAGACACTAAGATATCTTCTAGAAACGGAACATCAATTAACTGCAGCAGTCGTAGCAGAGTTTGCTGTTTCCAGACATCTTCTATTACTGATACCATAACAAACAAACAAAAACACCTTCAGAAATAAGATCTTATGTAAAACACTAATCTTTGTTTTTACTCACTCAAGAATGTTTTAAATGTCCAAAGAAAACAAGTAACAGTACAGTGTGAAGTTTCTGTGTTAGGGAAGAAGGAATCAAAATAGAAATGCTAAGAAAGAAGGCTTTAGAGAGAACATATCTCTCCTCCATCATATTAAAATTAGTAATAACCTACTCTAATAAGTTATATGTACAAGAAAAGAGAAGTGAATAGCAAAAGAATAATATAACACAGATGTACTTAATCTTAAAACCTATTTCCTTCTGAAATGGTATTTGCATAAATAGAACAGCACCACCCTGCTAAAAATTAATCCTATTCTGTTTCTTTCAGTTTACTTACGAGCATTTACCCATTTAGCACTCATATTACTATTTTGTCATTACTGACATGCTAAATTTAGGACTCTGAGGTGCGGTGTTTAACAGAAATGAGGTACTCACTCCAAGCAGATGCAGTGAAGAACAACAACCAAGTTTTAAAAAGAAAAAAAATCAATCCTCACCTCTTTTTGAAAGGAGATGAATTGGTTTATTAACCATGATCTTTGGAAGTAAAGATGCATGAACATTAATTGATTGAAGAAGCTCCTCTACCCTCTTCTTATCGGCTGCCTCTAATGCTAAGGGGTTTGAAAGTGTTGTTTCACACCTTGTTCTGCTTAGGGAGGGGAAAAAATGGATGTATAACAAATATGATCAGGACACACTTATCTTTCTGTCACTTCCTAAATTGCTGTTAAATGAGGACTTTAGAGCTTCATTGTGTCTGGTGTCTATCCTGCTGCTAGAAAACCAATCACTCATATCTGATTTGTGGAAAGAGCAAGGATATTGATTCCAAATACTGTTTATTAGTTCCATTTCTTTTACCAGCTTCCATCAAATAGCTCATTCACACTAATTCTCAGTTTTCAGCACAATTGATTGCAAAACAAAATGATTTCTAGGCTTATGCCACTGTGCCAGACTCTATTATAAATAACAAAGGGCAGGTCAAAGCAGTTTAGCATCACCAAGAAATATCAGGTAGCATCTGCAATTTAGGCATGATGTTTCTCAAAACTGGCACATAGTTTTAAAAGTCTTCGATACCTGGGTTACACAGACATAACTTCATCTAGAGTTAACCTACCTTAAGTTTAAATTAAATAAAAAAATCATACTAGTTCAGAGTAACTCACTTGGAACGTCTTTTTGTCTTCTGTTTGCAGATTTGCTCAGGAGACAAGTTCTCGTTGTCTTTACTTTTCCTCGGAAGAAGAGGAGTAAGACTACTATTTACAAATTTATAGAGACTAGCGTTCGTGTCTTCAAATTCTGTTTTTTTCTCATCCTTGAATAAGTAAGGCTTTGCTCCAACTGGCTCAAACACCTTGTGATCCATCAAGGCCTGGCATACACGGACTCCCTTCATCCGAGAAATATCATTGCAGCTCAGGTACATGCTTTGCATAAGATGACTTAGTACCACATCAACAGCATTGGAGCCGGTGAAACAGTTCCTGTATGTTTTCAGATGTTGTCTACGTCTTTTTATTTCCACCTGACTGTGAAGAGCATGAATAATACTATTCCACAGCTGAGTTGCTTGAAAAGGACCATCACAATCTGCAAAATATTTATGAGATTTACAGATGTTTATAAAGCTTTACGTCAGCAATTTAAAATATATTTTTACTCTGTGAAATTAGTTTTATATATATATATATATACAAATAAATTCTTCAGAATTCAGCTTAATTTTACAAAGACAAAGATAATACTTCATCAATCAGTCCTTCTTGTAAATTGACTCACACCCACCAGGGCACAGTCAACAGAAGAAAACAAGACGACACTAAACCAGGTAATGAAGGGGTATTTTGTTATTACCACATTTACTGTGTGTATGTACACATACACATTAATTCACTACAGAATGGTTGAGACTTGCCGGGTCCACTTATGGATCCAGTCCAAACTCCCCTGCTCAAGGAGAAGCTGGTCACCCAGGACCATGTCCAGACAGCTTTCGAATATCTCCAAAGGCTGAGCACCCACAACTCCACTGGGCACCACGGAGAAGAGCCTGGTTCTGCCTTCTTGCCACCCTCCCTTCGGGTACTTGTAAACATTGATAAGAAAGAAACCCCTGTGCCTTCTCCAGGCTGAACAGTTTCAGCTCTCCCAACCTTTCCTAAAGGAGATGCTTCTCCGCTCCCCAGTTTCTCCTCCACATATCACCCTCAGCTCAGTAGAACACAAACCAGCATTTGCAGTGCATTAGACCTGCCCGGCCCCCAACCCTTCGCTCCCAACACTCAGGCACAGC